GGGACACATTTTTTTCCTGTTTTCTTTTTTTTTTTTTTGGCTTAAAATAGATTTACTCATTTATTCAACAAACATTTGCTGAGGATCTGTTTGGCTTCCATCCATCTTTTGGGTCTCAGCTCAAATGTCAGCTCCTTCCCCGGGCATTCCCTGAGCACCCTTTCCTGTTGTAGTTCATATGCTATTTTAAAATGAAAAATGGTATTTATAAATGGTAATGTTTTAAAATTGAAAATTTCAACCTTAAAAAGTTTTAATTCTTCTATTTTACTTTTATGATAGCCTTTATCAAGGTGCAGACTTGCCTTAGTTTTTAATTTACCTGACTAGTACAGGGGCTCACCTCTTGGCCACGAGTGAGCTCTTGATGCCCGGCACAGGGGAGCTCCACACGCCACCCTGAAAGGCGAAGGGTGGGGTGCTGAGGGGACTGTGATGCCAAGCCTGGGCTTTGGTGGCTTCCACTCAGCCGTGGGAGAGGAGCCTCTGTAGGAGAGAGCCTTGGAGCACTTACCAGCCAGGCAGAAGGACCCTCCCCAGGACTCCCCGGCTGTAGCTTCTTGTGTGCAGTGAGTTAAACACCATCTGAAATCCCACAGCTTTCCAAGCACCACGCCGGTCCCACCTGGCACAGTGACGGCACCATGACTGCGTCCTCAGGTGCTCGCTGTCCGGGGAGGAGCGGAGGCTCAGTCTCCAGTGGCCCACAGGTCCTGTCCCTGACATTTGTTCTGTGATTATTGTTCACTGTTTATCTTGTGTTTTCTTCATTTTTAATATTAATACCCAGAAAGAGGCTCCTAAGAGAGAACAGCTGAGGCCAGAGGCAGCCTCTGTGGTCCCACTTCTAGAAAGACTCCTGGGGGTGGGAAGGACATCACCACCTCCTCCTGGTGGCTCAGAACCATCTAGAAGTCTGTGGGGGAAAAACAGTCCAAGTAAAGACACACTTGCTGGAGGAGTCAAGCCCCCTGACCCTGTGCCCTCTGCCCTCCTAGGAAGCAATCTGCTGCCCTGGTGAGTGCAGCTGCCAGTGGCTGAATGTGGCCTGGGGACAAGCCACCAGCTCGGGCCCCACACCTCTCCCTTGACAGGTGGGAGCTGCAGCCACTCTGGCCTAGGGAGGAGGCACCATCCTCGCTGCAGGAGGAATTCCCAGGAGGTTGGGCTCCCAGAGTGCAGGTCCCTTGGGGAGCAGGCTGTGGGCCAGGGCCAGGGGCACTGCATGCCCACCCAGCACACCCACACTCCCACACGCATGCTCACTCTCACTACCCCCCCCACACTCATGTACACACTCACATACTCTCTCGTGGTCATTCATTGCACACATACACGTTCACCAACATACCCCCCTCACCCACACTCACTCCCACAGACACACCTACACTCACTCCCACAGACACACCCACACTCACACACACTCACACACCATACCCACACTATACACTCACTCACACGCACTCTCAAACACATACTCTCACACTCACACACACTCACTCACACTGCACACGCACCTCTCCACTCCAGGAGAGCATGCCTGGTGACGGTCCCTGGCTGAAACTTGGATCTTCATCCCTCAGAGACTGTTGTGCTCGTAACTTCGAGCACAAATGTTTGAACCCCAAGACCCTTCTCTGAGTTTGAAAGGCCCCTCAAGAGCAGGTCAGGAGTGGGCTGTTGGACAGTAGGAGCCCTTCTCCCTAGAGTAGGACTTACCAGTGAGTGCACCAGCCCCCACAGAGCATGCGGCCTCCTTCCTCTGCATTGACGAAAGGACTCTAAAAAATCCTTAATGCTGTGTGAGCACCTTTACACTGATGTGACCAAAATTCCTGATATGAATAATCCAAGGAGGAAAAGTTTGCTTTGGCTCATGGTTTCAGAAGTCTCTGTCTGGGGTTGGCTGACTCCATGGCTTTGAGTTGGAGGTGAGGCAGAAAATCATGGTGGAAGGATGTGGCAGAGGAGAGCAGCCCAGCTTATGGAAGCTGGAAGTCGGGTCAGGGGAAGGAGCCAAGGACAAGACGTTGTCCCCAAGGCACCCCCTGTAGTGACCTGCTTCCCTGACCCATGCCCTACTGCCTTCAGTTTCCACCATCTCCCAGCCGAGCATTCAGATTATGAGTCCATCCAGTGGATTCACTCATGGATGAGGTTAGAGCCCCATGATCCAGTCAGTCCCCCAAGCCCACCTCAGGACATGCTGCACTGGGGACCAAGTCTTCAACACGTGAGCTTTTGGGGAACATTCCAGGTACAACCACGAGACAGATGGAAACAACTGACTGAATGGCTCTTCCACACATCATTGGGCTCTGGCAGCTCGTGGAGCCGGTCCATCTCTCAGGCTGGAAAGTCAGGGAGGAGCAGGAACTGCCTGAGGTGTGGCAGGGCGACCTCTCAGGGAGACCCCACCCCTGCCCCAGGAGGCCATTCTCTGTATTCAGAGGACCAGAGAGCAGACTTAACAGCACCAAATAACGGACCAGACAGAGTTGCCTCCCACTTTCTCTCCCTGGATTCCACTTCCCCCTTAGCTTCTCTGAGGTCYTTGGAAGGCTGAGAGCCCAGGAGGTGATGGAAGCAGCCTCCTAGTTCTGGTAAAGACCAGAGAGAAAGTGGAGACTTGATCCGATTGAATGGGGCGTCTCAGTAGGAGGAGATGGGACAGGTGGGTGGGGGCAGTCCTGTGACCAGAGAGCCTGCAGACCAGGATGAGGTGGGCAGGGAGGGGGCGGAGCCGTGAGCTGAGCGGCTGGGCTCCTGATTCCTGTGGCCCTTGGCCACCCAGGCCTGGCCCTCTGTCTCTCCTTTCTTAGACTTTTCACTGTAGATGTCCAGTCAGTGGGGTCCCCTGATGGGGAGACCCATGTGTGTCACTGTTGGTCATCTCATCAGGCCGGGAAAACTTACTTAGCACACATTTTCTCCATTGTACAAAATAACTTGCACCATATCTGAGGATTCTAGCTGTCATGTGCCCACAGCCAGCCCAGGCTCAGCTGGACCGCCCAGCTGTGTTGTGCATAGGAGGCTCTGAACTACTCCACAGCTGAGTGGCTCCATTATGGTTTGGATATGAGGGGTCCCCAATAAGCTCATGTGATAGAAAATTCAGGAATGCTGAGAAGTTAATTAGATTATGGGAACTAATCAGTGGGTTAACCATTTGATGGATTAATTCTTTTTTTATTTTTAAAAGTTTCTACTAGTGCATTACAGTTATATATAATAGTGGGATTAGTTTTGACATAATCATACATGCAGGGGATATATTTTGCTCCATTTGTGTCCCCAGTATTTCCTCCTTCCCTCCTTCTCCCTCCCCCTGTTTCCCTTCCCTTACTCTACAGGTCTTCCTTCTATTTATTTATTTATTGTTTTTTAAATTGGTGCTTTACAGATATAAAACATCAAGGATTAATACTTTGAAAGAACTAGTGAACTGGTGGTAACTGTGGGCAGATGGGGTGGCTGGAGGAAGTCGGTCACTGGTGGGTGTGACCTTGGACTCTATCTTGTCCCTGGCTCCTGTCTCCCAGTCTCTCTACCTCCCCCTCTCCCCCTCCCTCCCTCTCTCTCTCTCTCTCTCTCTCTCTCTCTCTCTCTCTCTCTCTCTCTCTCTCTCCCTCTCCCCCCTCTCCTTCCTGGTTACATGAGCTGAGACCTTCCACCCTGATGTTCTCCTCACCTTGGGCCCAGAGCAGTGGAGTCAGGCAACCAGGAACTGAAACCTCAGGGGACAAGGTTGCACATGTGCCATTTTATATGAGGTCTAATGTGGTTCAACTCTGGGTAGCATTTCTCATCTGTCAGGTCAGAGCAATTTAGTTTTGCTAATGCTATTGCTGTCTGAATGTGGCACAGAGGAAAGGCATGCTCCTGTGGGTGCCCCATCCGATGCTGAGGGCCATCCGTGGTGGGAGTTTCCCTGGACGAGTGACAAGAGACAGGTGTGGGGTGCCGTGCCTCCCTCACAGGTTGAGGGTTGGCAACCAGAGTGCAGACCTTGCTGGCCCAGAGAGAGATGCCCCTGCCCGTTTCTGTGCAGACAGTCCCCTGAAGAGAAGGGACCAGCTGGCTTGTGTGACCCGGGTATTAGGGGCCTTGAGAATCAGCCTCTGTGCTGTCCCCTTCCTGGGATCTGGGTAAAGGTGATATGGGAAACAGGCTTGGGGACAGGAGTCACTCACAGGCCTGAGCGGGTGGCTTTCTGTTTCAACTCTGTCTTCGGTGGCTTCCTCGTCAAGGCAAGAGTCAGCTACAAGCCACAGAGGCCTAGGAGCCGTCCATTTATGACTGTATCAAGAACAAGGGGTCCTTCTCTCTTCTCCACKCCCCGCCCCTCCTCCCCTCCTCCCCACTCACCTGCAGGGGCCCGGGAGGAGGGCCATGGGATCTCCTCACATGACATCTCCTCACTCAGGCTGATGAGACGAAAGCCCACCACAGCACCTGCCCCTCTCACAGCCGCTGCAGGTGGCCACGTGGCCCAGGAGGGCCTTTCCCACGGTGGCCCCTGATGCTCCCATGAGCCCCAAAGTCACCACGGTTCTCCCGACTCCTAGAGCCTGGACAGTTTGAGCCACTGTCCCTAAGCACAGCCAAGAGGAAGGAGGGGGCAGAAGGGGGAGGTGCCTGGTGACTGCAGTGATGGAGAAGCTGGACCACAGGGTTCTGGACGTGGCCCGCGTGGCCCTGGCTGAGGAGTGGGCACCTCCTCCTTGGCTGGGCAGGGGAGAGAGCTGGCACTGTGTGCAGGGGCGGAATCTGTAGGAGTGAGGAGCAGCCTGTTGTCCACAGAGGAGCCTGGACGCCCATCCCGGGGTATGGCCACAGACGGGCAGCCGTAGGCAACGCTCTGTCAACACTGTCACGTGTGGAAGGTGGCAATCATTCCCTTGGTTGACAAAGAGGAATGGGCCATTTATTGTGTCCTTGACATTGTGCTGAGTTATGTGCTTCAAGCTGAACTTTAATATGTGTTTGTTTTCCAGAGCGAATGGCTCCGTCTACGAGATCCTGCAAGTGGACTTTGGCATCGACAACAGCAGTGGCTTGGCAGGGGCCCAGCAGATCACCTGGCAGGTGGAGTACCCAGCTGAGGACTCCATGAGCGAGCTGGTGGTCTCCGAGATCTTCGTCAGCCAGACGACCTTTGTGGGCATTGTCCCTCTTGCAATGGTGAGCAGCTGGGCTTCAGGAGAGGTGTCGCCGAGAAGTTCCCTTTGAGTACTTTGATCACTCCAATGTCATGGAGCAGAGTGTCATCTTCTCTCCCATGCACTTGGTGCATGTTGTTTAAATAAGGAAAATATTCTTAAACTGCATTTCATTTACCTGCTTTCCATAATGGCCCCTGGAAGCTGTTTGGGGTCTACTGCGTAAACCCTTTTTCATTTGTGGAGACTGTGGGATGGTTTCCTGGGGAGCCCTTGTCCTTTATTGTCTCCATCTGGGTGCATGTCAGGACCCAGTGCTGCGCTGAGGGCAGAGGGTTTTATTGAAATGTATGGGGTAGGGGGAGTGGTGCTGGGGACAGAGCTCTGTGTGCCCAGGAACTAGCCCCTTGTCAATTGGCTTTGCCCTGAGAGTCCCCAGGTGGCCCCGGATTGGCAAACTTTAATGTGCAGATGGACCAAAAGAGCCTTGTTGGGAACTGCCCAGCTGAACTTGGACAGGATCCCAGAGCCGTTAAATTGCCTGTGGTTTTGCTTCACGGGCCTGTAGGTGGCTGGGTTTACTGTGTTTGGCTGAAACTCTGCCCACACCTAAGGCCCAGGGGCCACACCTGAGGATGGAGTCATGGATGATCTTCCAGTTCTGAAGAGGAGGGTGCTGTGGGCCCAAGGGAGGGCCACGTGCTCCATGCTCTTCTGTCCTGGAAATGATCATTCTGCCCTGAGTTGACCTTCCTGCTGGGGACCTCACACACAGGTGGTCTGGAGCAACCTGTGGCTGCTTTGATCATCAGTCACTCAGGTTTGAAACCAGAGTTGAGACAACTGCAGCTGAAAACCCTATTAATTAATTAATCCACAATTAAGGCCCCCGTCTTGAGATGCTGGCGGGTGCCCTTGGCCTGGAGCACCTGCTCCCTGCATCTCCCTGGGTTGGTCCTTTCCTGTACCTTGGCTGTTAGAGAGGCACCTTCCCCAACCACCTGGGCTTTCGCAGCCCTCCACCCCCTACCTGCCCTTCTGTTTCCAACCACGTCTTCCCATTTTATGGTCCTCACAGACGTTGCCGCTGGCTGATGTTGGAGTTCATCTTGGGACCTTCCCCCTGGAGGGTGGGATCCTGGTCAGTTTCGTCCACCCCTGTCTCCATGACACCTGTAACAATGTGTGGCAGGTTGATGTTTGTTGGATGAATGAATGAACCCTGTGCTTGAATCCAAGAGACTTTGCTAAAAGCACTCCAGCCCTCTTTGGTCAGTRGTGACATTGTCTCTCATTGGGCCACATGACTCAGGGGCTGCGATGATTGAGATGTCACTCACAGGGTCAGTCTCAGGGTGGGGACACAGCAGAATTGGGGGGAGGAGCTGGCAACAAGTTCATGGTTGTGAATGAAGGGCTGGGTGACAGTGTGTGGCCTGGGGTCAAGATGTAGGTCGGCTGGACAGTATTTTGCCAGGACTGCCGCTCTTCCCAGGGGGCCATCTCTTTCTTGGTGACTGGAACAGAGGCCAGTGAACAGAGCTGGGTGCTGCTCCCTTGGGTGGCTGCCTGCAGCTTGTGCGAGGGGCACTCTCTGTCACCGACTGCTTGTCCTGTTTCCTCCCCGCTGGTGCAGGCTGAGTGTCTCCTGTCCCTTGAGGCCACGCTGCTGGAGTGTGCTCTGCATCTCTGTGGCCATGAGCGCCCCCACCTGGCTGACCTTCACTCAGGAGCACTTATGGTGTAGCCATCTGCACCTGGGAGTACTGGGGAGGGAGGGCAGTGGTGTTGGGTGTGACCACGCAGCTCTCAGTCACTGTTTAGTGAGGCTTCCAAGCAAGTGCTCAGGACCCAAGTCGTTCAGTGGAGTTTCCTGAGGACTGAATGAGATGCCACAGGCAGTCTTTGGACACTGGCCTGGCACATTGCAGCACTTCATAATATTTAGTTTTTATATTTTCATCCTATTATTGTCATCGCATTATCTAGCCACATGTTTGGGTCACTGTCAAACTTCAGGAGAAGCCTAAACAGTTCTACCTCAGGCTAGGTAATGGGCTGTCCCGGAGTAAAGAAGGAGTCCCATTGCTGAGTCAGACACAGCCATAGGACAGGTGGCTGGAGAGAGAGAGGGAGAGAGAGTCACATGGGGCATCGGCTGCTGTCAGGGAGAGTCCTGGGAGAAAGGGGAGGGGCCTGCTGTGCATTCTTGAAGGCAGATGGGTGTAACTGGGCGGAAAGGAAGGGAGCCCCGGCCAGAGGAGCAGAGAGTGTGGTGAGCGGATCGTGAGGGCCCAGGAGCTCAGGGACGCAGGTGGCCCGGTGTGGCTGCTGAGTGGATGTGGGGAAGGTGGGGCAGGGAGTGGGGAGGAGGCTGCAGCCCAGGGGTCTACTTCCTAGGATGTCAGATCTCTGTCCAGGGACATTCCTTAATCATTAGTTTGGACCACTGATTGTGGATGCAGTGATGTATTTGGTCCATGGGTGCTCAGCAGAGTCCCGTATGCTTGGTTTGAATGTGTTACTCCAGAATTCGAGTTGAAACGTGGCGATCCCACTGTGGTAGTGTTAAGGGGTGATTTAGGGCAGTGATTAAGTTGTGAGGTCCGTGCCCCATGAAAGGGTTGTTCCTTCTGAAAAGGCCAGGGGGAACTTGGCATGAGCCCTTTAGCCTTTGCATCCCTTCTGCCTTGGGAGGACAGTGTTCCTTCCTTCAGAGGATCCAGCAGCACAGTGCCATCTTGGCAGCAAAGAGACCAGATCTTCTCCAGATACCAAACCTGGCAGCACCTGGATCCTGGGCCTCCCACCTCCAGAGCTAGGAGGAAACAAATTGCTTGTAAATGACCTGGTCTCAGGAATTCTGATGTAGTAGCACAAATGGACCAAGATGCCTGTCGAGCACTAAGCCTTGAGTTAGGTCACGATCAGGCAGAATTAGTAATGACTAATCATCAACAGCAGCTGTCAACAAGGCGGCCATGTTTCTTGCCTTCTTGAAGTGCCATAGATACCCTCACCAGATTCAGCTGTGTGAGGAGATGTAGCTGTGGCCCCCATGAGAGGCACTCTGGGTATGACAGACAGACATGGAGAAAGAGCCTGGCTTATTGATGTCACCACAGGAGGCTAAGCTGAGCCATCAAGAGCCTCCCCACTCCAATCATCTAGTCTTGTGAAGCAACAAATGTTCCACCTCAAACCCACTAATACTGGCCCTCCACCTTTCCATCCATCCATCCACCCATCCACCCATCCACCCATCCACCCATCCACCCACCCATCCATCCATTCACTCATCCATCTACCTATCCATCTATTCACCCATCCATCCATCCATTCATCCACCATTCATCCACCCACCCATCCATCCATTCACTCATCCATCTACCTATCCATCTATTCACCCATCCATCCATCCATTCATCCACCATTCATTCATCCACCCATCCATCTACCTATCTATTCATCCACCATCCATCCATCCACTCATGCATGGATCTGTCCATCTACCCATCTCTCATCCACCCTTCTATCCATCCAATTGCTACTATGCAACTATCATTAATTTAGCATAAACTATGTGCCAGATTTTCACTTTTTGGTACATGGAAAGAGAAAATGGAATGGATAGAAATTTTGGAGTTGAAATCCCTGGGCCATGGAAGCCATTTGTGTCTGATAATTCCATTTGTAGAAGAGAAGTGTAGGGTCAAAACCCCAAGGCCCTCTTTACAAGGTGGTCTGAAGAGAGCATGCAGCCCTGGGGAACTGCCCTTCCTTGGGTGTCCTCTCTGCTGTCTCCGCAGTGGGGGAGGGCTAACTAGGGGCTCTGTTTCTTCCCTTCCCTTTCTTCCCCTCTGAAAGCACACGTTTTCTTTTCCCCTCCACAGTGTTCCTTTTCTTGGGTCTTCTGTCCAGTTACTGAGCTTTGAGCATGGAGATTTGTTCCTCTGGGTGGTATGGAGTTTAGGACGACAGCCCACCATTCAACCTCAGTTCTTAAAACTAAAAAGCCCAGCTCTGCACATGCAGATAAAAAACACATAATCTTTCAAAAAGGTTGGAATCAAAAAATGAACACACTTGGTGAGTTTCCAGGCAACTGGGAACATGGGCTCAGCCCAGGCTGGAGCGAGAGATAATCAGATGCCTTTTTCCTCGCGCTGGCCTGGGACCCCACAGCACGGCCTGGGCACAAATGCTTCTTTATTCCACGCAGTGCTTGTGTGCTGACTCTGCGCCAGGGGCTGTTCCAGGGGATGGTGACTGACAAGGCAGACAGGGACCCCGCTCCTCTGCTCCCTGTCTAGAGGGGCAGACTGACCAACACCATAAATGTGTGTTCTGTCACTCCAGGGGGCACGGGGAGGTGGAGAGACCTGGGGGAGTGGAGGGGGCAGGAAAGCATCTTTTAAACACCTGCATTTTCTCTGAACTAGCCAAGAAGGCAGAGCCAGCTATAGAAGGCTGTGGAGAAAGAGCATTCCATGCAGAGGGAATGGAAAATGTCTTCCTGCAGAACAAGAAGGCCAGGCAGAGGGCAGGGGAGAGGGGCAGGAGCAAGGGGGCGCACTGCAGGGGAAGGCGGGTGGGGTCTGTGGCACTGGTCCCGACAGCCCACGTCCCATGGCCTTCTGTTGTCCCAGCACTGTCCTTAGCCAGAGTTTCCTGTTGCTGCTGTACCCAGTTCCTTCCTATCATGTGCTCCTGCAGGTCTGTCTGGAGTGGCTCGTCCGGAGCTAAGGTCAAGGTGTCACAGGGCTGTGCTCTTTCTGAGGCTCTGGGGACAATCCATCCTTTGTGTCGCCAGTGCACAGAAGTCACCTGTACCTCTGGGCTCACATCCATCTCAGTCATAACATCAACCTTTGTCCTCTGTGTCACTTTCTCTGGGTCCAACCCTCTGTCTCCCTCCTAGGACCCCGTCCCACCTGACGATGCAGGGTCACCTCCCCATCCCAGGAGCCTTGGCTCATTGGCATCTGCCAAATCCCTTTTCCATGGAAGGCAGAACGTTCC